AGTAGACAAAACAGTAAATGCAAAGGACCTAGGAGGGAAGCGTGCTTGGAGGACTGAGCAGAGGAAGGGGCTGGAGAGTAAAATATAAGTGAAGAGACCAGTAGGGTAGTGGGGTTCAGATTATGTAGAGTTTTGGAACCATGATAAAGACTTCAGATTTTATTGTGAGTAAAATCGAAGCCCACTGGAAGTTTGTGAGCAGAAGAATATGATCTGTTTATATTTTTGGAAACATTACTAAGTTCTTCAATCCAGCTTTGACCCGGAATATATTTTTACCACCATCTTTCTGATCTGTGTGTCTACATCTCAAATGGCTCCAAACTGGGAGGGAAAAGCAAAGGTGTATAACTTTACCTTCTAAGTGACAGTATCTGTCATACCAAATATGTAAGTAATTCTATAACTTGATATGTTCAATCACCATCAGATTATTGAGATTTATCCTTGACGGTCTGTACAGCTTCAATTTATTCCTTTAAACTAGTTGCAACAGACCATTGCATAAATTAGGCCACAATGTATTTATCTACTCTACTGTTAATGAACACGTGCTTTTTAATTTTCCATTACAAATCAATGCATCAGAAAACAGTCCTCTATGTCACGGGTTCCCAAGCCCCAGACCATTAGGAACCAGAAGGCACAACAGGCGGTGAGTGGCAGGCTTGGAGCAAGTGTTATCACCTGATCTCTGCCTCCTGTAAGATCAGTGGTGGCACGAGATTATCACAGGAGCTCGAACCCTATCGTGAACTGTGAGGGATCTAGGTTGCACGCTCCTTATGAGAATCTAACTAAAGTCTGATGATCTTCTAAGGTGGAACAGTTTCATCCAGACACCATCTCCTCCAAACCCCTCCTGGTCCGTGGAAAAAATGATCTTCCACAAAACGCAAAAAGGTTGGGGACTGCTGGTCTATGTGTCTTCATTGAGTACAAAGTCTCTAATTTCACACCTTGATGGAAATTGTTGAGTCAAATGTGTTTTCATTCCAGAATGATGAATACTAGAGGCTGGGAAGCGTATCAGGGTAGGAGCAAGGATAAAGAAAGATTGGCTAATGGGTACAAACATGCATTTAGATAGAAGGAATACATTCTGATGTTCAATACCAGAGTATGGTGACTATCGATAACAACAATCTATTATATATTTCAAAATAGCCAGAAGAAAGGACCTGAAATGATCCCAACACATAGAAATGATAAATACTCAAGGTGGCAGACACCCCAAACACCCTGACTTGATCATTATACAGTCAGTGCATTAAACTGAATATCACATATGTACCCCATAAATATGTACAAATATTTGTATCAAAAATAAAATAAAAGGTGTTTACATTCTACAACTGTTTTAGATCATGAAAATTCTCTCTAACGTGATTCTGCAGCAGCTTTTGTGAGACTCTCCATTTCTCTATACCATTGTCAACATGTTTTATCATCTGACTTTTTCATTTGTGTCAACTTACAAGTATGAAATCATCTTTCATTACAGTTTTTATCTGCATTTCCCTTGACACTAGTAAGCTAAAACTTTTATTTATACTTTTATTGGATATTCAGGTTTCCTCTTCGTGAATTGTCAATTCATATCCTTTGCTCATTTTTCTGCCCAGTTAACTATCTTTCTCTTACAAATTGGTGGGAATTCCATGTAAATTATAGAAATAAATTACTTGTTAGTATTTGCTCTCCAAATATTTGTTGTTAACTTGTAACCTGTCTTTATTTTTGTTATAAAGCTTGGTAAAGGAAACTTTTTAATCTATAATGTAGTAAAATTTATCAATATATCTTGAAAGTTTATGATATTTATACCTTGGGAAATCTCTTTATACCCCTCAGGTCATAAAATATATTTTGTATTTTCTCTAAAAGTTACTGTTTTCTTAAACCTGCCCAAAGTTTACTTTTCTATTTAGTGTGAATAGATAAATATTACCTTTTTTTTCTGTAGGAATAGCCAGTTGTCCATAGTCCTTCCTTTCCCCATCAGTATCTAATATCCTTTCTTTTGTATATCAGATGTATATATTCTGTTCAGTTCCACAGGCCTACGCTTGAGCACACAGCATGCTGTTTAATTACTAAGGCTTTATAAAAAGTCTTGATATCTGGTAAAAACAAGTTCCCATATTTTTTTCTTCTTCATAATT